TCTTTGTTCATTTTCACATGAACTAAAGAAAACGGCGTTATCATCAGCGACCAAACACGAAACCTGCTGATATCCGCTCTCACAGCTCGACTCTACTGAGGCAGCTGATCCGAGCTAAACATGTGTACGGTTTTCTTCTTTCTTTTATAATGATTATGTTTATTACACTGGAAATCTGCTGCGTTTATGTTACAGTGCCTGAGAGCTACTATACCTAACAGGTGTCGCTGACAGCTGACAGTTTAAACGTGTGTGTCTCTCTCTCTCTCTCTTCCTCTCTGTCTCTCTCCCCCCTCTGTCTCTCTCTTCCTCTCTCTCTCTTTCTCTCTCTCTCTCTCTCTCTGTCTCTCTCTCTCTCTCTCTCTTCCTCTCTCTTTCTGTTTGTCTGTCTGTCTCCCCTCTTTTCTCTCTAGTATGGGGCCAAACTTCCTGTCCCTTATCACGTCTTGCATCTACTCAGCTGGACACAATGCTTTATTATGTTAAGGCTTTTTCGCTGTTTGTATGTCTGTTTTCCTGCTTCCTGCATACTTGGCTAGTTTTATTCTGCTGCGTATGTTCTTAATGGGGACTCACTCATTCAATCCTATCGTATTGTCCTCACTGCCACTGTAATGTAATGTGGATAGAGCCACTTAATTTCCTTACCTTCTATTCCATGTAGTGTTACGTTATTTAATGTTACATGCTCAATCTACTGATCCAAGCACCTCCCCCTTTCTGTGGGATTTTTTTTTTCCATCTCACTTCCACCCTTCCTTTTATTATTCCTCCCCCTTCCTTTTGATCATCCCGCCCCCTTCCTTTTATCATTCCTCCCCCTTCCTTTTATCATCCCTCCCCCTTCCTTTTATCATCCCTCTCCCTTCCTTTATCATCCCTCCCCCTTCCTTTTATCATCCCTCCCCTTCCTTTTTATCATCCCCCCCTTCCTTTTATCATCCCTCCCCTTCCTTTTTATCATCCCCCCTTCCTTTTATCATCCCTCCCCCTTCCTTTATCATCCCTCCCCCTTCCTTTTATCATCCCTCCCCTTCCTTTTTATCATCCCTCCCCTTCCTTTTTATCATCCCCCCCTTCCTTTTATCATCCCTCCCCTTCCTTTTTATCATCCCCCCTTCCTTTTATCATTCCTCCCCTTCCTTTTTATCATCCCCCCTTCCTTTTATCATCCCCCCCTTCCTTTTATCATCCCTCCCCTTCCTTTTTATCATCCCCCCCTTCCTTTTATCATTCCTCCCCTTCCTTTTATCATCCCTCCCTTTCCCTTTATCATCCCTCCCTCTTCCTTTTATCATCCCTCCCCTTCCCTCATCATCCCAGCCTCTCTCTCTCTCTCTCTCTCTCTCTCTCACACACACACACACACACACACACACACACACACACACACACTTTCACCCACTCATCCCTTCGCAACTCCCTTCTCAACTCAAGTTCAACTCCTTGTTCAGCTCCAATGTGTCTCGGCTCTGCAACTCCTCACTCCATCTTGGATCGGCTCCAGCACAACTCTGCTCTGCATCTTATTTCTGTCTCGACTTTGCTCCATCTTGGATTAGTTCCCATACAGTCAGCTTCTCAGATCAGATCAGATCAGCTCCTGTGCAGCTCAGTCCTGTTGCTGTTGCCAACAGGATCTTCCATGCCAAACAACCTCCCGCAGTGGCAAGAGAATCATCCCGTTGCCTCAGTCATCAAGCCCATCAACCCTCGTATGGACCTCTAACAGCCATTCCTGCTTCATGTTAATTTGATTCAGGATGTAATCTGCTTTATTCCCATTCCAACCCATTTGCCTGCCACATTTAACACAATCTGGTGTCGACCAGAGGAGGATGGTTTCCCCTGTTGAGCCTTGGTTCCTCTCAAGGTTTCTTCCTCACTGTGAGTTTTCCCTGCCACTGTCGCCCTTGGCTCATTCAACACCATACAAGGGGTGCATGCTACTAGACCTGTTTTCTGCCTTGACTAAACTTCTCTACCTAACCATACCATGCCTCAGATACCCAAATGCTAGACTTTCTGACCAGTCTCATTCTGAATCCAGCTCCTCCATATTCCACTGGCATACAGTCTTACCAAGTTTTCTACCCAAGCTGCTACAGTTGTTATTGCAGAACCAGCTCTTCTCATCATGTGACGATCACTCAGTCCTAGATTTCAACAGCTTTTGAGCTCATCTTGGAGCCTTTTGGGGATCTGGCCTTCTTGCTACAGGCAGAAGCTGCCCAGAACTCCAGGCCAAGTTCTCAGAGTTCTCCCCCATCTCTCAATCAATTCTTCCTCATACTACCACCACATGTTGAAGGCATGGTCTGAACTCACAAACTCAAATTATCTTATTAATTAAGCAATCTACTTGTAATTTTGACTCAATTTTTCTTCTAAATAAACTTAATTAATCAGTAACAACCTTTGCACAGTCTTTCAGGGTTTCTTTCTAGGGCCTTATATAATCATCTAACCATGAAATGCATGGATGTGCTCTAGCAGAGTGGACTGTGGTCAGTCTCAGCTCTCAGAACTTTAGCTTTAGTGTTTTTTTTTTTTACAGATTATTGCCAATGATGTTATTGAGTCAGCTCAGAAATATTTTCAGGTTGTGACAACGGAAATACAAAAAAGTAACAAAGTAACTCAGTACTTAAGTAGTTTTTTTGAAGTACTCATTTACTCTTACTTGAGTAATTTTAGTCACTAATACTTTTACTTGTACTTGAGTAAATTATCACTACAGTAACAGTACTCTGACTTGAGTAGGAATTTTCAGTACTCTTTACACCCCTGATCATAAGCATTATACTGATCAGCCTGATGGCCTGTATAATCCATTGTCAGATGATGAATAATTGAGATTTCTTTCCACAGGACAGAACTGTTCTATTGTAATAAAGGAAGATTTTCATTAACTCAACTGCATGAATTCTCATTTGATTAAATAATTTCACTCAATAATTATAAAAGTTTGTACAGCCTTTTTTTTGCAAAGATAACAGCTCTGAGTCTCCACTTATAATGATTGAGACTGGAGAACACATGGCAAGTGATCTGAGACCATTCCTCCATACAGAACCTCTCCAGATTCTTCAGATTCTGAGATCCACACTGTAGACTCTCATCTTTATCTCAGACCACAGGTTTTCTATAGGGTTTAGGTCAGGGGACTGGGACAGCCATGGTGAAACCCTGATTCTGTGGTTTGTGAACCATTTTTGTGTTGATTTTGAGGAGTGCTTAGGATCATTGTCCTGCTGGAAGATCCAACCAGGCCCAGATTAAGCTTCTGGCTGAGGCAGTTGGGTTTTGATTGAGTATCTGCTGGTACTTGGATGCAGTCCATGATACCATGTATCCAAACAAACAGTGCAGACAATACAGTACAATAAATAAATATGGAAAAACTTACAATAAATACTAAACAGAACACAGGCAGTACACAGTACTGAGAGTATGTGGAGCTGTGCAAAGGAAGATGTACTATGACATATTAGCACATTAGCAGATAGCCTAGCATAAATGAGCATAGCAGTCACTGAGGTAGCAACCAGAGCAGCAATATACAGTATACAGTATTTGGTTGATACAGTAATACAGTGTATGGTGTAAATGTCCGTGATGGAGGGGAGAGAGACCCCGATGATCTTTTCGGCTGTCCTCACTATTCACTGGAGGGTCTTGTGGTCGGAGGTGGAGGCAGTAATACAGCTGCTCAGGATGCTGCTCTATAGTGCCTCTATAGAAAGTGGTAAGGATGGTGGGTAGCAGATGAGCTTTCCTTAACTTCTGCAGGAAATAGAGACGCTGCTGGGCTTTCTTGGTTATGAAGCTGGTATTCAGGGTCTAGGTGAGGTCCTCCGCTAGGTGAACACCAAGGAACTTGGTGCTTGCAACAGTCTCCACAGGGGAATTGTTGATGGTGAGCAGAGTGTGGTCACTCTGTGCTCTCTTGAAGTCAACAACCATCTCCTTTGTTTTGTCCACATTCAGATGTAGGTTGCTGACTTTACACCAGCCTGTCAGTCGCCGCACTTCCTCTCTGCATGCTGACTCATCATTCTTGCTGAAGATAGATAGATAGATAGATAGATAGATAGATAGATAGATACTTTATGATGTGGTTGGAACTGTGAGCTGCTGCACACTCATGAGTCAGCAAAGTGAACAGCAGTGGACTGAGCGCACTGCCCTGGGGGGCTCCAGTACTGAGTGTAATGGTGTTAGAGATTCTGCTCCTGATCCGGACTGACTGAGGTCTCTCAGTAAGAAAGTCCAGGATCCAATTGCAGAGGGAAGTGTTCAGGCCCATCAGGCTCAGCTTTCCAAAGAGATGTTGAGTGACGATGGTGTTGAATGCTGAACTGAAGCCTATGAACAGCATCCTAACATAAGTGTCCTTTTTCGCAAGATGAGTGAGGGCCAGATGAAGAGTGGCGGCTATGGCGTCATTTGTAGAGCAGTTGGAGTGATCAGCGAACCGCAGAGGGTCCAGTAAAGGAGGCAGCTGGCACTTCATGAGGATGGGTGTGAGTGCAACGGGACGATAGTCATTGAGGCAAGACACTGGAAATTTCTTTGGCACAGGGACAATGGTGGTGGCCTTGAAGCACACTGGAACAACAGCACTGCTTAGCAAGGTGTTGAAGATGTTCATAAGAACTCCCGCTAACTGGACTGCTCATTCCCTGAGCACTTTGCCAGGAATGTTGTCTGGTCCAGCAACTCTGTGCAGAGTTTTAATCACATCAGCAGTGGACAGGCACAGTACCTGGTCGCTGGGTGGAGGGGCGGTCTTTCTTGCTGCCACGTTATTCTGCACTTCAAACCATTTGTAGAAGTCATTCAGTGCATCTGCCAGGGAGGCATCACTGTCACAGGAGGGAGATGTTTTCCTGTAGTTGCTGAGGGCCTGAATGCCCTGCCACATGTGCCATGTGTCACCAGTGCTCTGGAAGTGTCCATGGATTCTCTGACTGTGTGTGCGCTTCACCTCTGATAGCTCATGACAGTTTGGCCCACTCTGTTCTTAGGGCCGCTCTGTCACCCGCTCTAAAGGCTGAGTCATGGGCCTTCAGCAGCGTGTGCACCTCAGCAGTCATCCACGGCTTCTGAGTTTTGCATGTGGTGATGGTCCTGGATAGAAAGATCATCAATGCATTTGCAGATATAGCCAGTCACTGATGCTGTATATTCCTCCAGGTTAACAGAATCATTGTCAGTGCCAGCCTCCCTAAACACGCCCCATGCAGTTTGTTCAAAGCAGTCTTGAAGAGCAGAGATGGCTCCTGCTGGCCAAGTTTTCACCTGCTTCTGGACTGGTTTGGAGCATCTGACAAACGGTCTGTATCAGCATTACAGAGATGTGGTCTGAGTAGCCAAGATGGGGGCAGGGCTCGGCCCGGTATGAGTGGGACATAGTAGTGTAAACAAATTCGAGCACGTTCGACCCCTCATTGCAAAGTCCACATGTTGATAGAATTTTGGGAGGACTGACCTAAGATCTGTGTGATTAAAGTCATCAGTGACAATAAACCGTCTGTTAGGGTGCTTGTTCTACAGTTCGCTGATGGCTCCATACAGTTCACAGACTGCCTCCTTGGCAATGGGGGGAATGTCAACCGCTGAAAGTCTTACTAGCTAATCGAGTCATAGTCAGGTACTGTACAAATTGGAGTTTATGTACACCTTGGTATCCAACAAGAGGACAGTTTTTTATTTAATTTGCTAATTATTTGTCTCTATAGACAAAGATCAGAACTGTCCAGGCTGTGGTCTTCTCTGTGCTTCTTTATGGACATTAAAGCTGGACAATAAAAAGCAGGACAGGAATAGTACTGTCTTTGAACATCAGTGTTGGTGAAGACTTTTGACAAATTCTTGACCAAATCTGTCTTCACCTCTCACTCAAAGCCCAGTAACCAAATTGGAGCTCTCATTTCAGACACAATATGAGAAGAAACAGTTCACTGGAAATGACTGTTATTCTCAGGGTAAAAGAGGAGGAAGATGACCAACTACAAGATGGATACAACTATAATTATATTTTAATGACAAGATCCGCAGTCATGTTTGAAGATCTTGTACGTGAGGACCCCGACAGCTCCGCAGGCTGTTCCTGCAGTTTTGGTGAAGGAGCACGCCTCCATCGTCCTCCTCTGTATCGTAGGGTGAGGGGAGTTGTAAGGGTATCCTCTGCTGGTGAAGACCCTAATATACAGAAAAGAGAAATGATATGTTCAAAGTTAGTCTAATATCATTCTCTTTCACATTTTTGAGATATCTTATGGTGTCACCAGGCTCCTTTTGTTTGTGGCCCAAACAACTTTTAAAAAATCCTCACAGATTTACAAAATAGACAGCATCACTCATTTAACGCCAGTCTTCTCCAGAATGTCTGTCTTGTTGTCTTGAGGGGGCACTCACTAGACAGTTGGGCAGAAAAAACGTCACACACAACTAGTTTTAGCACTCAAAATCCTAATCTTGTCATTATTATGCGACTCAAAGAAAAAAAAAACATAACACACTTGTTTGCACTTTTATGCACACTCAAACAGTGTATTAAAAAAGCAAAAAGTGGGTGAACATGTGCTTGGAAAATGTTAATATCATTGTATTCTGCAACACTACAAAATGGCAAGACTTGATATACAGTCCTGTGCAATAATAAGAGACTCCATTTATTTTATTTCCAGTCAAAATGGCCATTAAATACAAGTTATTCAGTTATCAGCATCAGAAACAAAGCAGAAAAAAGAAAATTACCCAGAAGCCACTAAATCTAATAGCAGCTGTCTGAGTGTTGAGTGTGTTATTACAGCTTCCATTCTTTTCAGGAGACTTGCTTTCAGTTTCTCAAAGAAATCTGCAGACACACCTCCAAAGTTCAGTCATAGAAGTTGGTTGATGATTTTCTGAAGTAATCAAACACCTTTAGTGATGTTGAGGTCTGGACTCTGGGGTGGTCAGTCCACTGTTCAGCTTCTTTGTTTGATGTGTCCGTCTCCTTTTCTCAGTGAGGTTCTTCTTGACAGCTACACATCCTTTCAGACCCACAGCACTGAGTTGTCTTCTCACAGTGGAAGGATGGACAGAAGCACCTGTGGATGTTTTCAGATCTGAAGCAGCTTGATTTTCTCCTCTCTCTCAAAGATGAAAGCTTTAAGTGCTGTTTATCTGATGGGGGCAGTTTTGGTGGATACATTGTGCAGCTGCTGATGAGCAACAGTCTGTGACTGTCCACTGATGTAGTGGATCTATAGACCTCTGAAGTTGCATGTCTTTAAAAGAATGGAGGCAGGACCTCAAGCTGCCACCAGAAGGAGGCAGATAGCAGCCTCCTAATCTCACTCAGAGCAGTCCTGAACACCTGAGTTAGTCCTTCTTAAGGAGCTCCCTCCGGTTACTCAGCGTCAGTCCTGTGTTCTCCTTGTGGAGTGGTAAAGAGCGTCAAGTTTCTCTTTGGCCTCAGTTTTCTCAAGAAACAGGCCTGCCAGTGCTGACCCCCTTCTTAGTTCTCAAGCCCAACATACAATTCAGAAACTATGTATTTGTGTTTCAATAAGTTATGTTCAATTTCATTGAAAAGATATTTCTTGCCCAAGTGTCATTTGCCACACCTAATGGCAAGAGTTCAAGTTTTTAATGTGTTGTTCTGAAAGGCCACAGCAGTTTAGTATTTTTAAGCATTTGGTTCAGTTTATCAGCTACTTATTAAGCTGAATCTAGAGGTTTAGAGCAAAGTAAACATTATATGGAGTTTATGTGGACTACCAGAGAGGAAATGTGTTTGTACACTTTGCACTATATTAGATATTTTTTGATTTACACTGACCTCTAGTGAACAAATGGGGATATATGTTGCAAAAACTGGTGCCTTTCAGCATGATTCGAAATTCCCATCTGACTCATTACAGGCTGACACTCTAAATGAACTATTTATGTTTCTTCTCATGTAAGATCTACCGTTCTGTAGAAGAACAGTCTCAGTGTAAGATAAACTGGCTGGGCATGGTGCACAACGTGCTGGCTGACCAGAGAATCAAAAGCTACAGACTTGGAATTACCTATTTTTCAAAGGTCCAGCTTTAAAACTTGTATTTTTCAAACAAGTTTTAAAACTGGACCTTTGAGACTAACATTGGTAACAAATGCTGGAAGCCAATAGTCACCCAAATATTTTCTGTAAATGCATTCTAACGTCCTACGCAGGCCACGTCCAGGTCTTCATTAAGGTGGTGCAGACTTGTAGATGTCACTAAAGAGCTCTTGAACTAAGAACAACATTCTATGATCTTCCCTACAGCTGCTGTACCTTTAAGAAGTGAACTTAAACCCAAGTTGTTGCTCAGAGACTGCAGCCTTGAGAGAGCAGCACTCGAAACATAATATGAATAATGTTACAAAAGTACTGAAACCACTTTAATTCTTCTCCTATAAACTTTAAAATAAATACAATCATGTAGTTCTGCTGTTCTGGAGGAGAGAGCGCCCCCTGGACTACCACCATTTAACACTGTATGGAGTTCCCCTAAGTTTTAGCGGCCTAAACCCCTAAACCTGAGCACAGAGACATTTAACACATATAAAGCTCCTGTTAGGTTGATTCAAACTTAGGCTCATCGTCATACAAATACTACATTTCCACCACTTCAAATGTGCATGTTTTTATGAATATAGGAATTATACTGAAGAAATTATGTCATAAAATATGAGAGTTTAAATGTAGCTTAAGCTCAGTTAGCATAGTAAGTCACAGAAAACAGCCAACAGATCTGCTCAGAGACGTGGAACAGGTTTAAAAGTGCCTTCAAGTATGCTGGATGAGAAGAGGAGCAAGATTTTAGGGTAACACTTCAGTAACAACATCTGAAGAGCCTACAAAACTTTGGATACATTTGACTGATGAGTGAAGACAAAGTGCAGGTTTTGTGCAGTGTTAACACCAATGACCGGAATTTTAACCATTTGTCCAGCAAACGTACGTTCCACAAAGCAGGATTATTCATTATCCAGATAACTTAAGCCCAAAAATGAGGGACTGTCCAATGGGAATGTCCTTCAGCTCTTTTCCTATTGGGCTGGCTTGACTTTGGGCTTAAGCTGAGGAATTACCCCCCAGGAACAGGGGACCAAGCAAAGAATCCTAGAAAGAAGAAAAACGGCAGACACGGAGCAGGGACGGGAAACAAACACATCATCAACAGAAACGAATGAACACTCACAACACTGAACGACAAAGACAAGAGGGCAGAGCGGAGGAGGAGCAAGGAAACCAAAACACAGGGACATGGTAGGAAAAACAGATAGAAGCAGATACAAATGAGGACCAAGGGCAAGGAAAGGAAATAAACAGGTGTATATGGCACACAGGGAAGAAACCAAAGACCATAAAGAGGGCAGACATGTTACAGTTAGAAATATTCTCTCTCATGCATAGTTATTTATTTAAGAGCAATTTATTTAAAGAGCAACTGATTCTTTCAATTACTTTAATTACATCTGTAATCAGGTCTGACCAGACTACACATCCTTAAATTCAACCTTCATAATTGATTGGCCTGCATGAGACATCCTTCCCTTCACAATCATTCGCTGTCCTGAATGATTTATGGGATTCCATGTTCCTCTGCATCTGGTGAATGGACCACTGCCGTAATACATCTGTTTGAAAAGATCATAATCAACTGAAACAGCTCCTTGATAAATGCCGAGAGCAAACCAGTTTTCATACAAGTTGTAGCCAAAAGGCACGGAGAACATGATGGCCAGTCTCAGCAACACAGTGCTTTTTGTTTGAGAGGATTTGGTACGTCAGCACCCCGACGGCACCACAAGCAGCGTACGCAATTTTGGAGAAAGAGCACTCTTCTTTGGTGTTTTTTGCGATCACAGAAGGTGGCGTATGGAAACAGTATCCACTTCTGTTGTAGAACCTAATATACAGAAAGAGAAATAATAATTCATAATGTAGAATACAGATCTGAAGCAGTTAATAGGCAGATAGGCAGTGCAAGGCAATGAGATAAATAGGCTGTTAGTATATTAGAAACACAAATAATCAGAATGCAAATGGTTGTATATTGTACACTATATGGACAAAAGTATTGGGACACATCTCTTAATCATCGAAATAAGGTGTTTCATTCAGTCCCATTGCCACAGGTGTATAAAATCAAGCACATAGCCATGCAGTCTGCCTTTACAAATATTAGTGAAAGAATGGGTCGCTGTAAAGAGCTCACTGAATTTAAGCATGGTGCTGTAATAGGATGAAACCATTACAACAAGTCAGTTCTTGAAATGTCTTCCCTCCTAGATATTCCACAATCAACTGTGAGTGGTATTACTGATAATTGGAAGCATTTAGGAACCACAGCAACTCAGCCACGAAGTGTCAGACCACGTAAAGTTACAGGGCGGGTCGCTGAGTGCTGAGGAGCATAGTGCATAAAAGTCACCAACACTCTGCTGATCAATAACTGCAGGGTTCAAACCTGCTCTGTCATCAACATCAGCACAAAACCTGCGTCGGGAGCTTCATGGCATGAGTTTTCATGGCTGAGCAGCTGCATGCAAGCCTTACATCACCAAGCACAATGCCAAGTGTCAGATGGAGTGGAGTAAAGCGCCGCCCCTGGACTCTGGAGCAGCGGAAACGCATTCTGTGGAGTGATGAATCATGCTTCTCTATCTGGCAGTCTGATGGACAAGTCTGGGTTTGGCGAATGCCAGGAGAACATTACCTGCCTGACTGCATTGTGCCGACTGTAAAGTTTGGTGGAGGAGGGATAATGCTATGGGGTTGTTTTTCAGGGGTTGGTCTAGAACCCTTAGTTCCAGTGAAGGGAAATCTTAATGCTTCAGCAGACCAAGACATTTTGGACAATTGTTTGTTTCTAACTTTGTAGGAACAGTTTGGGGAAGAACCTTTTCTGTTCCAGCATGACTGAGTCCCAGAGCACAAAGCAAGGTCCATAAAGACATGGCTGGGTGAGTTTGGTGTGGAAGAACTTGACTGGCCCTCACAGAGCCCTGACCTCAACCCCATCAACACGTTTGGGATGATCTAGAATGGAGATTGTGAGTCAGGCCCTCTCGTCCAACATCAGCATCTGACCTCACAAATGCTCTTCTGGGATAAATGGGCCAAAAATTCACACAGACACACTCAAAAATCTTGTAGAAAGCTTCTCAGAAGAGTGGAAGCTGTTGTAGCTGCAAAGGGGAACCAGCTCCATATTAGTGCCTATGGATTTAGAATAGAATGCCATAAAAGCTCCTGTGGGTGTAATGTGTAGGTGTCCCAATACTTTTTGTCCATATAGTGTATCTCTACTCACCTTGGATTTTCTAAGGCGTGCGTTTTGCTGTAATTGGTGATTTCAATGGTGATGTTTCTCCTTGTGCTTATGCTGTATGAGATTTGCTCAGTAGTAGAGCCTAAAAAGGACGTGCCAGAAGTAATACCATCTCCTTTAGGAGCCATTGCCTGAAAAAGCCAGAAAAAAGAAAATCATTGTTTTGTTGTGTTGTATATCATTCTCAGGAATGAAGAAAAATAGAGATTATTAAATTTAATTAGATAAAAAAAAACAGATAAAATCACAAAAATACTAACACATAGTTAGAGTGAGTAGATGAGTTTTAACCTGTTTTGAGATGGTACAGTTTTTTAAATGACCAGATTGAATGTTCCGGATTGAAGGCCCCCAGATGAGCGAGTTTAAACTATCCGAGATAGCTGTATGAATGTTATTAGAAGGTCTTGTGGAGTAATGATGAACCTTAAAGTTGTATTGAAAACTGTTTTCAAAGCAGTCAGGAAGAAGATTGTGTGTGAAACTGGCATATTTGAAAAAGGTTAATTTCATACACATTGAGTATCTGAAGATGAAAAGTAGACATGATAATTAGCTGAAACTGTCCATTCTAACAAAGAATATGTAAACACCACAGTAAGAAAGGTGAAGATAAATCAATGTGCAATACAAGTTACGAAGTATTTTTTATACAGTATGTATTTGATTCTTCTGATGACTCCAGTACTTGTTGCTATTCAGTTCAAAATTGATTAAGGAAATATGTTCTTTCCAGCACAGTTTGTCATCAATGAGTATACCTTGAAATTTATTTTAGTGGACCAGAGTGAATAAGTGACTAAACATACAGACTGGAGAAAGAGTATGAATGGCCTTTTTTGGGGGCTGAAAAGCATGTATGAACTTTTTTTGCCATCGACAGCGCGGACAGTTGTCTGAAAAGATCTGATTTGGGAAACTAATCCGATTTGCCTGCAGTTTGAACACAGCCTTAATGTTCATGTCTCATTGTTGTTCAGATGTACAGATAGGCTTTAGTGTCTCATTTGCCATATCTGCAGCCAGCCAAACCATCTTTATTGTCTAAATTGTTCCACTGAAATGCTGTTTTTGTAACAACAATTCGTTCCAAATACTTAAATCTAAATCACAGATGACGTGAGTCAAAATGAACACCAATGGCCTTACAAGGTAGAAACTCTCAGAAATTGTTTGTGCGATTTAATATTGATCTAATAATGACCTCGTACTAAACTATGCACTGATTTAGAAAAGTTCTGGGAGCAGTAAACATTGGATTTTTATATGAGGCTGAGGCTTCTCATTCAAGTTTTCCGTTCCACCTTAAATAGTGTTGCAGTCACACTCTGGTGCCTGCAAATGGCATATCTTAACACTGAAATGCTCTGAATAGAACAGGAAAAAACAAACACAAGGCGTCTGTCCCCCGGAATCTATTTCACAGTATCCACAACGTATTTCATAACTCACAGTACGGAAAGTAAATGGGAGAAAGGTGAGGGTGGAGCTTATTTACCGTGGGCTTCCGTATCCAGAATTTTCACACAGATGTCTCCTGAATCTCTGCCATATGAAATTAAAGACAGGTTTTGAAAAATAATACATCAAAATCCTGAACAACAGAGTAAAAATACTGAAATTATTTTTATCGTGACCCTCTGAGCTTACTGTGTGAGATGTAGAGTGAGGGAAAATTACACTTTCACTTTCTGTTTAATTCCTAGCCCATTATTCTCTCATTCTCAAAATGGGTCAAAAATCTGATAATGATGTTTAAGACACAATATAACAGAGTTTAACAACTGTAAGAACAAGAAATTTTACTGCAGGTTTTTTTGTTATTATGAGCCTGCAGACATGGCACCTGAGATTACAAACTGTGGGCAAATGCACTTTTGGCTTAATTCCTGGGGCATCATCTCCTGATTCTCAAAACACCTCAAAAATCTCTGACAGTGAGGTTTACTTTATTTTAAAAATCATATCTTAAAATTTCAAAACAGTCAAAATGAATGTCTCTGCCTTAAGGATGTACCTGTCTGAGGAGCTCTCCTGGTGCTCAAGTACTCAGCTGGGCATATGCAAAGTCCAGCAATCTGATAAGGTGCTATAAAGTGCTAGCCAATCCCAGCACCAGGAAGAGGGACAAATATGGGTGGAGGAAAAACCCACACCAGTAGTGCTGTCTCTCTTTTTTAAAGACATAGTTACTTTCAGTTTTAATTTGCACATGGTTACTTTTGCTTTTGTTATGATTCAGCCATTTGGCTACATGTTGCAGCATGGAAGGTACTGGACCTTGTAGTCTTGCAGGGAATGTTGTAGGGAATGATTCCAGAAAGCTGGGACATGCTTTAAAAAATGCAAAGCAGTGTTTCACAAATTCTGTATTAAATTGAAAACAGTACACATGATCTTTTAATGTTTTGTTTTGCAATGACCATTATTTCCATAAACATTCTGAAAGGTTGACTCGTCAGACCACAATGTTTCATTTCAGATGAGCTCGAGCCCAGAGAAAGGGGCAGCGTTTTCTGGATGTTGTTGATATATTAATTCCACTGTGCATAGTGCAGTCTTAACTTGCAAATGTGGATTCAGAGATGATCTGTGTTAATTTATAAAGTATTCTCGAGCCCATGCAATCATATCACAGAAGCATATACATTTTTAATACAGTGCCATCAGAGAGGTCAAAGGTCTTAAATGGCATCACATAATCACAAATCTTGCATTTCACATGCTTTTATTTTGTTCTCTATCATTTATCATTTATAAACACATTCAGCAGCTGTATGTAGTCAGTCCAAATTCCATTCTAAAGTTCTAGCAAATGTATTACGTCACATTTTAAAGATAATTTAATCTGATTTGTTTTCTGTGAGTGCTGTCACTATAATATGGCCAAAAAAAATCATTACAATCTCCACCAAGCTTCGCCTCCTCAGCCCTCCAATCACTGCCTAGCAACTGTTACTATCTGCCAGGTTATGCATAGGTTATCAGTCTGTAACTAGTGCTACGACACCAAGGTCCTCAGAAGTTTCTGAACTGGTGCTAACATTATCCAGAGTGACTTTGATTAGATGTTCTCATCTCATCAAAACATCATGAGATGTTCTGGTATGCAGCACACGTAAGTTCCTATAGGCTAACATTCACCATAGCTACGATATTAATATGTAAGTTTATGACAGTAACTAACAGATTATGCCTGAAAATGCAAACCCCACAATTCATTTTTTATTTGCACCACTCATAACGTGGGTAGCTAAATCAGCATGCTTTAGTTTAGCTGCAGTAGTTGTTCAGTTTAGGCCAATGTGACAAGCTCCTTAGCTGTCTATATCAGAATGAGATTAACAGTACTGTGTTACCAACATATTATGTGGTACAACAAGCAAAAGAAAATTCACTGTTAACTATCAACCTGATCATCTGCTCAGCAGGTTCATTAGGCTGTATTATATCTATTTAACTGTACAGGGTGATTCAAAAAGATTCATCTGATTTCAAAGTGCCATATTTTTACAACCGTGAGGTGCCTAGGAACCAATCACATACCAATTGAAAGAGGGGGTCATAGAGTTCCTGACTGTCACCGGAAGATGGCTCCCTTTAGTCTGTGAGAAGATGGCAACCCCTGAACAGAGGGTGTTTTGCGTTCTCCACTTCTGGCCTCCAAGATCACTAGATCTCACGCTGTGTGACTTTTTTTTGAGGGGGTACGTTAAGGATTATGTGCCACTCCCAAAAACACTGGATGATCTCCGAAAGTGCACTGATACAGTGACACCCGGCACTCTCAATAGACTATGGGATGAATTGGACTATGGCGTTGATGTTGTTCGTACAGCTGAAGGAGGTTTATACTGAGCACTTGTACAATTACATAATAAACTTTATGCTCAAATTAAACCATTTACAATTTACTGCATTGATCTGTAATGATTTACAGAACTATGATTTAGAGAAAAAAATCATTTTGAAATCGGATGAACCTTTTTGAATCACCCTGCATTATTAGCCTACCTTGCCATTAGGTTGGGTTCGGTAGAGACAGATTTTTATAAATTATTTTTAATATTAAGGTAACCCGATTTCTGAAATGAAAACTGAAAATGAAAACATTTCCAGTTCAGCGGTCAATATTTCATTAAACATGCAGTGTTTTTATCTATGAAATAAAAAGTGGGGACAGTTCCATACATACATACATACATACATCATCTAAACCGCTTATCCTTCTGGGTCGCGGTGGGGTGCTGGAGCCTATCCCAGCTGTCATTGGGCAGAAGGCAGGATACACCCTGGACAGGTCGCCAGTCCATCGCAGGGCAGACAGACAGACATACATACATATACAATCACACACACATTCACACCTAGGGGCAATTCAGCATGTCCAATCAGCCTGACTGCATGTTTTTGGACTGTGGGAGGAAACCGGAGTACCCGGAGGAAACCCACGCAGACACAGGGAGAACAGGCAAACTCCACACAGAAATGACCCTGGTCGCCCAGCCGGGAATCGAACCCAGGCCCTTCTTGCTGCGAGGCGACAACGCTACCCACTGCGCCACCGTGCCGCCCGGGACAGTTCCAGTTTCATGTATTTTGGTCATGGCAACTGTTGTACTATGATAAACTATGGGGAAGGCTGACTGATAAAACTGGGCACTAACTAAGTAACTTTGTAAACCGTGTCAGAAAGTCAAAGAACATGTTTATATTTCTTGCTTTCCCCACCGCAAGATTTGTTGTTAGTCACTTTTTAGAAATTTTCTCAAAAGTCACTAAATCTAGCAGCTCAGGCAGGGATGAGGTACAGACACAAAAGACACCAGATATGGATGGCTGAAAAAGATTTTCCAGTGTGTTTTTAATTCACAGTTAAAAATGGAGGCATTAAAGGAGACAGCTCCAGCTGGAACAAGCCACCAAAAATGGGGGAATGTCCCCAAAAAACAGGGACGTCTGGTCAGCTTATTTAATGTATACTGTTTTTACAGTAATCAGTGAGGACAGAAAAGTTAGAGAGTTTGGCAGAAAGACAGAGAGAGTTAAGTAAATAAAAAGTGAAGCTAATACTTGAATTCATACAAGTTTCAACATGCATTTTCAGCTGTATGTTCAGAAAGCATTT